ATAGTTTAAAAAGTGGTTCATTTATTTTCAAATGCTTAAGCTATTCAGCCCTCTTTCAAACTTTATTAGAAGATAAACTAACCGTGTACTTTACTTTCATCTTCTTTATGCATCCATTGTAGAGTTCTTCAAGGGTCAACATTAGTTTGACTGTTGTTGGTTCTGCCTTTTTAATTTGTCCCCTACCGTCCTTGCGACCAAAGTTCTCCATCTGCTCACGAGTCATCTCCTCCGTAAATTCTAACATGTTGAGTACCAATAAAGACTAAAGATTTATAGGCGCGAAAAAAAATCATAAAAAAGGGTTGGATTTACCCTTAAAGGGATTCCAGTCGCCAAAGTATTCCTGAAAGGTCTTGTAAGGATCTCCATGGTACATGTATCTGACAGGCTCCGTATAGACACCAGGAATGCCATGTTTTAGGCCAGCCTCGCCATATTGGTCGTAGCGAGCTCTTAATACGGGGTCCTTCAGCACCTCATAGGCCTCCGAAATCCACGTAAACTGCTGCAAGGTTTCTGCTTCTAGTTTCTTGTTTCTCAGCGGGTGAAATCTTAATGCTTGGCGGCGATAGCTAAAGATGAAGGTGTATGAAAACCAGCATGTCAATAATGTACGCTCTATGCAGATCCTTTAGCGTGGCGCTTTCGGTGACACCGAGGAGGTAATAGTAGTCGACTCCCATTATCGCGAGAACACAGAGATCTCTTAAGAGAATAAACATGTAAACTTGCAAAAAAATAATACAAGGCAGTTATGCTAGAGTAAATTTTACAAAGAACACCTTAAACAGTATGTTGGCCCACACTATTTTGATTTGTGACCCACTTGACTTCTATCTTAGAATCGTAAAGGCCAGAAACTTTTCTAACTGTTATCAATGACTACCTTTTCATAAATGTAGCTTTGTTTGAGCACCATAATAACTGTAACATTAACTGCTAATACTGATTAACAGTCTCGCAAAGAATTAAGCTAATGAGCCAAATAATCATAATCTAACAACTCACACACCGTTACTAAATGTGTGCTTCCGCTGCCAAGTGACGCTTCTCTATAATCAATCCGCAAAATTCTTTAAAACAACATTGCACTTGAATGCAAGTAGTGCAGATGTTCGATGTAGAATGTAATGATTTATCTTACCCTTGCGCTTTTAAAATTCCTCTTGCATTCAATTAAGCGTCAAAGTCGTTGCTATAACAAGGACACTTAATCAAATATTGCAGTTGAATAAAATAACATTTAAATTAAGAAGCACTGCTGCAACGTTGCACTAATTATTTTGTTAGTCGTTAAGAAATTTTTCAGCAAAGTTTTTGGGTGATAATTCGCTAAAATAAAATGTAGATGAGCAAAAATGCGTTCCTTTCGTTGCCTGTGTAGTCATCAAAATAATCACTAATACGTCTCGGCACTTCTCACTAGACAACAGGAAACATTACCTAGGACTCAATGTGTGTATTCAGGGAGAAGTGAACGAGGTTAGCTTTAATGTTCCCCGCAGGCCAGCCCACGCAGTCAAAAAGTAAGGTAGACACCACAGCTGCCGCTAGACATACAAGTGGTCGAATAAGTTTTGGTTTTCAAGTTCAAGCAAAACTATAAATTAAACTTCTCATTTTATATACACAATGCTCTCCTCCTCATTTTAACGTCTTCCTATATGACCTTACTGGTTAGTGTCTGCGAAAGTTCAAGTCGGACTCCTGACATTGCCTGACCCTAACTATTTATCGGCATAAAATACTGCGAATTGCATTAAACTTCTACTGTTGTGACGTTTTGTGCCTCAACAAACCAGGATGCCATTAAAGGGCATCTACTACTGTCGAAAATAAGTTCATGTTTGCCACAATCATGGTCCAAAGACCAGACATAATATTGTAAAGACTAGCTTTAGGCTGCAAAATGCACCATGCAATTTTGGACGTACATTGCTTTTCTGTTTATGAAAGCTTCCTCGCCGTATACGCTATCATTAAAACCCATTTGTTGCCTATCATAGGCTCAAAATTTTGCTTTGCCTAAAGTTACGCATCAGGTGACAACCAAAGTAAATTCAATGAACAAGTGAAAACTTCCTTCCTTACTCACGCCCCAGTGCAAAAGAAATATAGTAGTCGGAGTTTGGCTTGTGCATGATATCGAGATAGAGATTATCAAACAAATGGTAAATGAAAATGAAGGGCTCTCCTCGAGTAACAAATGATTAGTACAC